TCATACTTATTCCTTTGTTTTATAAGTTTTCGTCTTATCAGAAAAAACACGGCACGTGCCCCGCTACAAAATCGACGGAGCAGCACTACTTACTGGCTACTGTATACTTTAATAAAAACCACGTAGGGACGTGTGTGCGTACATACACACGTACAGTAATAAAGTTGCTTTGTTAAAATATTATAGAGTTATTGTGAACAAGAGATCTATGCACGTGTCGGACACATGACAATACGAATAAAGCGAGTACAATACATTATGGTACGGCGCGGTTGGTCCGGTACACGCTGTGTGGGGCTGATCTTTGCGTGTGGGGATGCGCACTCTCTCTCGTTCCCGCGGTGCATGTATACACCCCCTGCACCCTCTGCACCCTCTGCGACCCGCTCTTAGGTACAAATACAAACACTATGCTTAGCCGCACAATATACGACCGTAACTGTCCGACTAGTTACCGGTTCGCGCTGAAAATGCACACATCATCGGAGTGATAACTGGTTCTTCATCTTCTGCTGGGGCCCGCGGATGAAAAAGATCAATAAAATTTTCGAACTGTTACGACGGATAATACGCGACCTGTTTCAATATATACATATAATAAAAATGTACAAAACGAACGATTCTTTACGCACGACACACGATGCACACACAGACGGAGACCCGTTACACGCGCCTATATAGTTGTGCACGACGCTCACAGGCGCGGGGTCGCCGTGTCGCGTCGTCAATACGTTACGTGACACACGCTCTACTGAACGAGCAACCTTAGTCTTGCTTCAGTGCAACTAAAATATTACATCTATTTGTGGTTAGGGAACTTTTTAGTAATATACATCATTTCGAAATATGTAGGTATATCTATATACCTATGTATAACAAAATAATGAATTTACTTGAAACTGTCCAATAATAACGCGTTTATGTTTATATTTATGTTTATACTGATTGATCCTGAGCAGTACTGAGCACCTATTGATAATACGTAATACGTAATAAAACGCAGTTAAAATGAAATTCCCGAGTGCATTATATTTGAGAATCTCATATTATTATTATTATTGTACGACCACCTAGTATTGATTGATCAGAGTTTTCAGAAGCTAGCAGTAGGTATGTAGTTAGGGACATGTCTTGTAACATATTGGTTGGTGGGAGTCCCACAGCGACACACACACACGCACACACACAGGGTACAACGACTGCTGATAAGAGACGAGGACGCGACCACGTGACCGACGCGAGCGCCGAAACCACGAGCACACACACACACCGACGCACGACTCTGCGTGACCACTGTGTATGTACGTTGTAGGTCTGCAAAACGCCATCTAATGTTATTGTTGTTATCGCATTCAATTGATATTTTTCCGTTAACGAGCAGACAAGCTCGCGACCAACGTGACATTAAGCGGTCTCCGTACGCCGCCGGCCCGACGCCCAGAACGACGCACTCTCTCGAGATCACGTTGTTTTACTGAGCAATAGAAGAAGGGAAGGAAGCACAGCCCCGCGGACTGCAGAGTGGGCGGCGGCGACATCTAGTTCTTTTAATTTTTATCCATCCTAGCTATGCTGATAGCCTTGAGAAGCTATATCAGCGTTACCCTAGCGTAGTTGCTAACACTGGCCCTAGCAAGAGCCGCGCTTCGCAGAATCTACCACTGGATGGGAATTGCGACCCACTGAGAAATTCCGGTGAGAAACTCAGTGGGCTGTGTCTGTGGGTTAATTTACTCGTCGAGTCCTTCGTCATAAGTGACGGGTTCGGCGAGGACGGTGACCGGTGCTTGAGGTACCTAAAAGCACCGTTGATGGATTGGGAGGATCCGTAATGACATGACTTCTAGTCCATACACGACATGAAGTCCTTGATCGCAGCACAAGCTACGAGGGAGCGCGGCGCGGGCTGAGGGCCAGCGGAGTCCTATGCGAGCGCCAGCCTCCAGCGCAGCTACACGTAGCGCCGCGCTGGGTTCGCAAGGGGGCCAGTGCCGTGTGCGCGACAAAAGTCAACTACTGTTTGCACTCATCGCAAAGGGATTGGTCTCTTCCAACGCTTACAAAGCGTCCGTCGTTGGGCGGGCGGGCCCGGAATCAGCGCGTACGTTGTCCTCTGTCGTTAGCGTTTCTGATACTTATTATAATATTATAGAACACTCTGTACATTGTTTGTCGTGTGGCCTCGATATACACTCCAGATGCAGCTTGGCCAGTTGCTTATATAAATGTACACATAATATATTATACAACAATACCGGCTGTACTATGTGTAACACCCGTTGATCTGCTGATCCCAACTTTTTATTTATTGCTTAGATGGGTGGACGAGCTCACAGCCCACCTGGTGTTAAGTGGTTACTGGAGCCCACAAACATCTACAACGAAAATGCGCCACCCACCTTGAGATATAAGTTCTAAGATCTCAGTATAGTTACAACGTCTGCCCCACCCTCCAATACGAAACGCATTACTGCTTCACGGTAGAAGTAGGCGGGAAGTGGTACCTACCTGTGCGGAATCACAGGACATCATGCCACCCGTAATAACGCAAATTATAGTTCTGCGGGTTTGATTTTAATTAACTTAACACCAGGTGGGCTGTTAGCTCGTCCACCCATTTAAGCAATATTTTTTTTTAAATAATAATAATATTTTATTATTGATTAACCACATTGGTTGAAGCTAGTCCGGTACTCCGCCACCGGTGCTAAGTTGCCTGCATGTTGCCATAAATCGTTACTGTATTGTATTGACGTACCTACACACATAGATACAAGAATTGTACAAAATTTAATGCCGAGCCGGAAAGGGAGCACGAACGCATCAATCACAATAAACCAACAAACATAACACACCCAATAAGTACAAGAAGATGAAAACAAGTCGACCGAGTCCGCGCGGGTGGGTACCACCACCCTGTCTATTTCAGCCGTGAAGCAGTAATGCGTTTCGGTTTGAAGGGTGGGGCAGCCGTTGTAACTTACTTGAGACCTTAGAACTTATATCTCAAGGTGGGTGGCGCATTTACGCTGTGAATGTCTATGGGCTCCAGTAACCACTTAACACCAGGTGGTCCGTGAGCTCGTCCACCCATCTAAGCAATAAATAAATAAATAAAACTTGAAAATGTACAAGTCTTCATAAAAATCTACTTTTTTTTTGTTTATATTTATTTTATTGAATTTTGAATATTATGGTTTCCTGTTTGAGACGGAAGCTAAATTAATCAAATATTGTTGACACACACTCATGCGCGCTCACACACGCTCACGCACACTCGCACTCCGCGATGAAGTCTGAGGTGGAGTTGTTAATGTTATTCTGAGCGGTTCGCACTCAGCGTGCGGTGTGGTTAACCTACACGAAGAATATAAATAGTATATAATAGGGAAGTCAACAGTTCTTGTGCAATAATACAAAGCTGAGAGCAGCATAACAATATAATAAACCTTCAGTACTTGAGTGTGTGTGTGCTTAAATATTTATATTCATTTTATCCTTATTTTAAAAATGTCTTTACATGGATTCGTGTGTGTTCCGGTTGGGATGGCGCGGGGGCCGCTGCACAAGTGAGGTTAAGTCGCAACATGAATCACGCCAATTTACTTTGTTGTGACTCTGGGCTCTGTACCACTTAAAGCCAGATCGACTGGGACTGGGACTGGGACTGTGAATACGTTCACACATCTATTTAAAAGAAGAAGAAAAAAAGCGTGGGGCAGAAACAAAGATAATGGAGTGTTTTTTTGTCTTTTTTTTTATATTCGAGTGTTTGTTGATTTATAGTCTTGTTTGATTGCGCATCACGAAAAAAACTGAATATTTTATTTCTATATTATGTCCACAGTAATCAGAATAATAATTGGATTAATTACGTAGGCAGTTAAATCTATCTAATCTAACATTTATTTGTTGAATATTTTGTTGTTTAAAAAGTTGGAGTCGTGGTGCGACCTTTTGTCCTTGATGTCGAGGTTCGTTAAGGTTTCAACCGAACACTGTCTTTTATTCCAACATTAAGTTAATCCTTATAATGAGCTGTTTTAGGCTACAAGAGACTTAAACCTTACATTATAGTTTTGGTAATGTTGCAACAGAGAAACGTTACGCCTACCACGTAGGTACTACGTCAGCTGCTGAACCGACCCTCGCCATGAGTGAGGTGCCTGCCTATGAGCGCAATTCACATCAGGTACGGTTCATTCGTGTCCCTTGTTGTAATGTGGTAGTAAGCTTTCACAAGTAATAGTCATTAGAGTCCATTAAGATCACAACTACTTGTCTTGAGAACGAACTGCTTGACTGAACGAACACATGACTGCAGCGCGGCAGTGGCAATAGAGATGGCGACACATACCCACCCATGAGGGGTTCATATATTAGAAGATATTACTTCTTTAATATGAAAATCGTTTCAATTGTTAAATAGATCTGTATTTAATTATAAATGATCAGATTCCAATGCACCGAGCGTGTTGTGGATTAGTGTATGTATGTATGTATGTAGGTACGTACGTTCGTTTGTGTGCGGTGGTAGGTAAACACTTGCACATACATGCACCGCACAGTGCACAGTGTGCAGCGGGCGACCCGGGGCCCGGGGGTGAGGCGCGGGGCGCGGGGCGCGGGGCGGCGTGCGTCAGTTAACGAGCGAGCTCGTTAGTGACTGCGTTGATTCACCCCATCGTTTTAGCTATGTTTTGGTAGGTGTACTGTGCAGTGCAATAAATACAGTTCCGTATTACACACTCGCGCGACTTTTTGTCGACTAACCTAACGATACGTAACGTGAACATAACATAGCGTGAGGCCTTAGATGACGTGCTGCGACGACCTCACGGGCGCACAGGCGGCGCACGTCAGCGCGCTGATAATTTCGAACCATGAATGAATAGGAGTTACGCGAATGTTGTCCGATAACAAGATCGGCAGATAAATATAGCGCATATATAGCGGGGTGGGTGGTGTGTGCTGATAGATGTGCGGAGAGAGATACTCACTGCTCGAGGTGGTGGTGATGGTCGTGCGAGTAGGGAGGCGGCGGCGCGTAGTGCTCGTAGTGGAGGGGCGCCGGCGGGCGGTAGTCGTCGCGGCGCTCCGGCGAGGGGCTGAGCTCGGGACTCCGGCGCAGGTAGACGCCGTCGGTGGAGGCGGCGCCCGGGGTCGGCGGCTTGAAGAGCGCGTCGTCGAGGTGCGCGTAGGGCTGCATGTCGCGCGCGTGTGCGGGCCGCAGCTCCTGGTAGCTGCGCGCCGCCGGCGACAGCCCGCCTCCGGCCCCGGGGGCGTAGCCGCACTCCGCCGCGCCTTCTGCGACACACACGCGCACCAACTCACTCACACGCGAACATTTCTCTCAACCTCAACGCAATCGACGCAATCGACGCTCACTCAGCCTTCTCAGAGACTACACTACACTACGAGTACGAGTATGTAACATCATGAAATTGAATCGTCCAAATGCGAAACGCTCCTCACCGCGGTCCACTATTATATTATTTTGTACAGTAGGTATACATACTGGTGCAGGGTTACATGTGGCGGTTCTTTGCGTCACGTTTCGTTGAGACCGTGTTATTTAGAACAAATGACTTTGCCATTCATTTTGTCATCTAATGGTAATTATCGTTATTCGTTTCAGAAAATTAGATAGAAAGTTTCCGATTGTTATCGCGGGTTCTCATTAATAGCTGTTTGTTGTAAATTAGTAGATGAAAGCAAAGCACGTTAATATTGTTTGGGCACTAATGCGTTGCGGGAGCAGAGAGGCCTAGTGACGAGTGCGTTGACGACGGCCCATTAGCGTTTACTGCCGAGGTACTTACTGCTGCACTGCGCACCGACTCCACGGCAGTCGCCGCGACAATCAGCACTCAGGAGGCTCAGACTCAATAGGCAGCACATCAAATATTATGAAAGCCGTGCGCCTGTTACTCGGCTAAGGAGACACCTCATCAACGCGTCGGCATCGCATCTGACGAACGTTACGCACCACACGTTGCCACTGACCAACTGACCAGTGAGGAGAACATATGGAGGGCCTATAACTAAACAGTTGACGAACTTTGCGATCAGAGACGGTGCCGCGTCTGATGAACTCTCTCACTGATGGTAAAAGTGCACTAACGTGCAAACGGTTGCTTACCTTTCATACAGTTGTTGTTGATCTCAGCTATGAGTGTTTCCAAGTCGATAGAGAAGGCCTTGTCCCAGGAAGAGGGCCAGGCGTCGTGCAGCATGCTGAGCACGGAGAACAAACACATGCGCTCGGGGCGAGAGTCGCGCGGTAACTAACGGACGACCCGCACCACCGGGCCGCGCCGGCGAGCCCACCCCACGACTACCCCTACGTCCCCTACACACGCACACACTGCCAGACTGCCACATGTACCTACTCACCTACTTACTTACAATCCGTACATGGGTGCATGGGTGCCGTCATCGTGTCCTACCTTTAGTACATAGACGCCGTGCGTTGCTGCGTTGCTGCGTTACTAGACTGGAACGAGCGAGCCCACGACATGTTCGCATTACAAATCACACTTGACATACCTATTTCATTTATTTACGCCTTATACAGTAGAAAATACGACTTGATATTACTTAACGCTACGAGCATATCTACCAGTATTTACGGAAACGAATCCTCCACATGATTACTATACAAATATTATGTGTATGGATGACTTATATTCGTTTGCATTGCCTTGTGCGTTACTGCAGTGCGGACGGATCCGACGCTACGCATGGGTACCATCGGAAGCATTGTGCATTGTGTTCCTTCCTCTGCATTTTGTTTAGGTACTCATTCGCTTTTTGGATATTATGATCAATATTATGAGAACGAGGAGACAGTCAGAGCAATGAGCATCGTGACCGCAAGTAGCCAGCGGTGTGTGAATGCGCGGAGAGGTGCAGCGGTCAATGAGCCCGCTCGCTGGACCGGCGGCGGCCGTCAGCTGACGACGCGGCGGTGGAGATAAGGTATCAGCACGTGCGCGCCTTATCTGATAACATCTCCCGACCTACGCTACTCTCGTCTGCGCTCTAAGCGCAACCTTATCAACGGCACTCTTACGCACACTGTGCTAATCATTCTTATCTGCCATTCTTAAGTTAGAGCCGGTCTTCTTGGTCGACCACGTTCAGCGCGAGAAGTCCGGAGTGGGCGCCGCGAGGAGCGCCGCGGGTACGAGTGACAATGAACTGACACACGCTCCAATATTATATCTAGAGGCCAGACTAATTACCCTGATAAGGTGTTGCGTGGTGCTCAGAGTGTCAAACGTGCCAGGAGTGCGAACAGTGCTCCTGGTAGACTTATATACGTCCAAATAATGGAATACTCAATGGAACGGTGACAAGCCGATCGCTCTCATAGGTTTCACTACAAACAAGTAGAGTGAAAAAACCGTCGTCGCGTCCTCGATGTTACGAGCAGCAATAAATAATTTGGACGTTTTAAGTAGGTGTCGAAGCATCCCGGTCCTTAGAATGTTTCTGTGAAGCGCGGCCGGCGGCCGTGGAGTGTTCCGCCGCGAGCCGGCCGCATGTGCACGGTCGACCTCTCCTGGAAACTATTCATTGTGTCGCGTTAGCGGTAAAACTATTATAAATCACACTAAAGCACGTGTTAAGTCGAGATGTTGGCGCGGTTTGTGCCTGAAAAAAGTGTTGTGACAGCGCGCGGGTCGGGCGCGCTAATCCTCCGCGACCTACGTAAACAAACCCGGGCGACAACTGATGCTCTGTTGCGGCCCGGGCACCATGGGGCCGGCTTTGTTTTTGCTGTCGCATTGTTTCGGCGTCGCTTTCGATTATGTCACAACTAAATAAACACTGACGTACATTATCTGTCCGATGAGGCATTCCCACTCAATCAAACCCAGGGAACCCTTCAGTGCTAAACGGATTATATTTCACTTTAGAAAGTGAGAATTGTTTTTGAACAGCTTTTGAGGATGTTTGTCAAAATATTGTGCCAATTTCTGATCCCGATGTGTTCAATGAATGTCAACTAAGCCTGAACGACTGATATGACAAGTGAAAACGGTATACATAAATAAACAATATTCTCCCAAAAGGTATTTAATAAGTGTCGGTGGACAGACAAGCTCAGGGCCCACCTGTTGCTAAGTGACTCTCGGAGGCCAAACGCACCATATTTTAACATGCTATAACTAGTCAGGTCATAAGTATTGTCACACAGTAAAAACTTTTCTTTTAGAATGCTGGCCACAAAAAAGTTTATTGAATTCGAATTTCGAATTGTTCATGACAATAAAAATGTATACTTTTAGAATTTTACTCATTTTTAAATATGGAGTGGACGCTTAAAGAAGACCGTGTTGCAGTTATTGGGTTGCATCGTTGCGGTTACGCGCCAATTCAAATTTTTAACATACTGAAAAATTTGAATATAACCAAAAGATTCGTTTATCGTACCATCAAACGATACAATGAAGACTCTAGTGTAGATGACAGGTCAAGAAGTGGTCGCCCTCGGTCTGTTAGGACTCCAGCAGTGATAAAAGCTGTGAAGGCGCGAATTCAAAGAAATCCCAAACGTAAGCAGAAACTGTTGGCCCTTCAGATGGGGTTAAGCAGAACCACGGTGAAAAGGGTGTTAAATGAAGACTTAGGGCTTCGGGCATATCGAAGAAAAACAGGACATCGTTTGAATGCTCGTCTAATGGACCTGAGACTGAAGAGATGCCGCGCTTTGTTGAAGCGTACGCGGGAAAAAAATATGGGGAAATTCTTTTTTCGGATGAAAATTTTTTTATCGTAAAGGTGTACGCACACAGTAGTGAAGAAGCGAGCAACCGTATTCCGCGTGTCCAACGAGGTCATTTTCCATCCTCGCTCATGGTATGGCTGGGAGTTTCTTATTGGGGCTTAACAGAGGTACATTTTTGTGAGAAAGGTGTAAAAACGAATGCAGTTGTGTATCAAAATACAGTCCTGACGAACCTTGTGGAACCTGTTTCTCATACCATGTTCAATAACAGGCACTGGGTATTCCAACAAGATTCGGCGCCAGCTCATAGAGCGAAGAGCACACAAGACTGGCTGGCGGCGCGTGAAATCGACTTCATCCGGCACGAAGACTGGCCCTCCTCCAGTCCAGATTTGAATCCGTTAGATTACAAGATATGGCAACACTTGGAGGAAAAGGCGTGCTCAAAGCCTCATCCCAATTTGGAGTCACTCAAGACATCCTTGATTAAGGCAGCCGCCGATATTGACATGGACCTCGTTCGTGCTGCGATAGACAACTGGCCGCGCAGATTGAAGGCCTGTATTCAAAATCACGGAGGTCATTTTGAATAAACTTTAGTGTCATAAGAATCTATGTTTTGTTAAGTTCATTTTGGTATATGAATGGTTACATAATGAATAAACTTATTTCAATTATTTTACATTAAACGTGTGACAGAATTTATGACCTGACTAGGTATATAACTCAATAGAAATCTACAGAAGTTTCTTCAAATCGAAGCGCATGTAGCATGCCATACATAACAGTTGCATAGGCTCTCGTCCCGTCTTACTTATTACTACCACTCGTGAGCACCCGCTCCGGGTAGAAATACTAAATGAAATACTGCCGCTGTGGACTGATGGTGGGACGTAGCAAAAGGTGGCCGAAGTCGCGATGTCGCGTACCTGTTGTACGAAACTCTTTTATAAGTTCCCACGCAAGATGAATCAACAATTAAAATGCAACAAAAGGAATACTGAGCCGATTTGTGGTTGCCTTGAACACATCGCTAATGAGTCGTCGTGAGCCGAAGTCGCACCCCAACCCCCGCCCGCCCCGCTGCGCGCTCCCCTTTTGCATTATCCTATTTCTAGAAAGTGAACATTTCTTTGTTTTAGACAATAAGGTGTATTGAATGAATCACTACTTGTACAGTGGAAAAGTATTATCTAGTTAGGCCCTTGCATTGTTTCACTCTTACCTACCGCATCGCTGGACTATTGTTGTTTTGCAACTCTTAGTGCACTCACAATCCACTATGTACAATGTTATGTTAAATTAGTTAATTTCTAGTTGACTGAAGTGTGTCTAACATGAAATGTGTATATTGGTGTACATTGTACTCGATCAGCTTGTACCGCGCAGTGTGCGTGTGGCCTTAGGTGCGTCTCGCGTCTAATTACATACTTTAAATTTATGTTCACAGAAGGCAACATTCGGCCTAGCTGACGGTAAGTGCAACGATCTCGCAACGCGAAATACGAGTAAATGGTCATTTTACGGCTTCCGAAATATCGTAAGTACGATCGGAACCAAAAATCAGACCTGGCAGCTTCCATTTTAATAATTGACGTATTAAGACGAATTAAGAGGAAGCATTTATGCTTTTAAACGACACGCGGCCTTTAGTACTGTACCTGCTCCTGGTCTGTCCGTAGAGCTGACAGCCCACGCGGCGCGGCGCCCCGCCACAACTGACAACATACGAACTTCGATACTTCGATAATGCCACTCGCGCTTTCAAAGAGAACGAGATGTACAGCACACGCCTCGCGCCTCACAGGAATATGCGCTCATAATAAATAATTAGTTATCTGGTGTGTGTGCGTGTGTGTAGCGACGTGGCGTGTCCGTGAGTGGGTGTCCGCGGTGGTTAATCGTTAATTGGCTGCCTTTTAGTTCATTTACTTTATTTTTTTAGCAATCTAATTAATGAATATGATATATTTTGACCTTGTTTAAGACGTCTCTAGTTGTTGTTAAGTGGCAAGATGACGGAGGGTTACATTCTCACTGGGTCCGTTCAACATATGGACTTCTACAAACATTAATTAATGTTGAGAATGCGATAATAATACATTTACTGTCTTATATAAATAAATCTATTATGTACAAAAATACTAATTGGAAATTGGAAAATAGCACGAGAAAGTGAAAAGGGGGTGCCCCTTCACTGAGCTGATGCTGACCGACAACAAATAGTTCAAACAGCGCTGATCCTCGGTCACCCCCGTACCCCCGCGGAGCTTCAAGGGATGTGAGGACCCACGGAGTACCCGCGTAGCTAAATATCATTACATATCAGTAAACTATGGTGATAAACAGCCGTCGTGGCCTAAAGGATAAGACGTCCGGTGCATTCGTGTTGAGCGATGCAGCGGTGTTCGAATCCCAGGCGGGTACTAATTTTTCTAATGAAATACGTACTGAACAAATGTTCACGATTGACTTCCACGGTGAAGGAATGACATAGTGTAATAAAAATCGAACCCGCAAATATAATATATTATAATTTGCGTAATCACTGGTGGTAGGACCTCTTGGGAGTCCGCGCGGGTAGGTACC